ATAACATTCACACTTGGACTCGTATTCAAAATCAACTAGCCAACAAATCTTCTCTAACTATCTATACTGATGGTTCTATCCAACAGATGAACACAAACTTTGTCAAATACGGTTCCGCCTGGACAACATGGTCACCTGGCATCAATCAAACTGGTGCCCCATCACAATGTATCTCTACTATATTCACTGAAATCACCATATTATACATGCTCACTGAAAATTTAAATTCATACACAACGACAACTATACATACAGACTCTCTATCTACTATACAAGATTTTAATACAAACATCACCAACAGAAACAGTCTCAGCAACAGGAAAATTCTCCAAAACACCAAATGGTCATATTGGAAAATTATCAATGACTCCATAATTCCCAATAAATTAAACATCACTCTTATCAAAGTAAAAGAACACTCAAAAAACTCTGAAAACGAGCTTGTTAACACCTTGGCAAAATCTGCTTGTCATGCCTCACCCTTTTCCATTAACTTTAACAAATTACCAGATATCAATTTTTACCCAATTTTTAATTATTTAACTCCAATCATTAATAATATCAGGAAAACTCAAGATCGTATTTCATTTAAACTTCTTTGGCAATTCTCCTCTAATATTCATCCCTCATTAAAAAAAGAATTTACTGACATAATTAACTGGAATGCCACCCACTTTATATGGAACAAAGATCAAGGCATTCACTCCATGCATGCATCTTCACTCAAATCAACCTTTTGCAATTTCTACCTAAAAAGCACACATAATTTATTATCCACACTCATCAACCTCCACAAATTTTGACCACAACTCTACTCTAATGATCTGTGTCCAAAATGCCTTGGCTGCGAGGAAACTACTGATCACATTTGGACATATTCTTTCTCAAAATTAGCCATATCAACTATTCTTCAAAATGCATCTTTCAAACTTTTTAGTCTGATTAATCATTATCTTACTTTCTTTACAAACTTCAACTTTCGCAATCTCAAAAATACTATACTTTACTTTCATAGAATTTTACACTTTTTCAATTCTCCTTATAACTCTTTAACTGTGTTCATAATTCCAGATTATATTGAACTTTTCAAAGACTTTGTTCCTATCGAATTGACCAAATTCATTTTGAACTATACCTCTTTAACTCAAAAAATAGCAACAATTATTGCCTCTAATTTCATCTCCTGGCTTGTAGAAGAAGAATACACACACATTTGGAACAAACACTGTCTAAAACAAATACAACTCGAAAAACTACAAGTCATCACACTGAAACTAAAAAAATCACAATCCACGAAACGAACAAGACAATCTCCAAACTCTATTTCACAACAACCTTACAACACCATCATTAAAATTCACTCTGATCCCAATCTATATCCTTGTGGCTTCCCAACCTCAGTATATCACAATGACATCTGTCCCAAAGAGAGCCTCATCAAATTATATAGCATCTTAGCTTTATCAAATCATATGCAATTAAAAAATAATTCAGACATCCTCATTATAAA